GAACATTGAATGAGTTTTCTATAAACAGAGTTTTAGTTAAAGAATCCTTAGGTTTTTAAGAAATTTAAGGCTAGCTGTCAGTTATTTGTAGGATTTATTTAACGTAAAAGTACATCTAAAACAAGGCTACTTACGTACTTCTACGACTAGCCTAAAATGAAATTGGAATTTATTTTTATAACAGTGCAACATTTAATTAAGGTTGTTCGTGTTGGTATTAAATTAAGTAAGTTACTTCCCCTTTAAAAGTATGTTTCAGTGTTAGAATAAAACGTATAGAAGTAATGGGTGATTGTTAGGTGACGTTTAGATTAAAGAATTGTCAGAAGTCTAATATTAAATGATGTATGGGCCTACATGTCTTTTGTGGGATGATTTATAATTGTCTAGTAGCTTTACGCTCAAAATCGTTTCAGCGGTTAACTGGACGCTTTTTTTTTTTAAATTTACTTTAAGATTTTAATTAGTTTGACGAGGATTTGGTGGTTACTGTTGTCATTACATAATTTTAATTAGCCTGATGATTTGATGGTGGTTTACTGATGTCTTTATACAATTTTAAATAGCCTGATGATTTGATGACGGTGTACTCATGTCTTTACACAATTTTAATTAGCCTCATGACTAATGATGATTTGCTGACAATTAATTAACTGTTGTCTTTACACAATTTTATTTAGTCTAATGATTTGATGGCAGTGTACTCATGTCTTTACACAATTTTAATTAGCCTCATGACTAATGATGATTTGCTGACTATTAATTAACTGTTGTCTTTACACAATTTTATTTAGTCTAATAATTTGATGACTTAACATTGTATGGACAACTCGCGATAAACATGAGGTATTTAAAACACACCATTCGATTCCAAACGATAACAAACATTCAAATGTTGCCCAAAACTTTGTACCCGTACACTGTACGGGGTTAACCAGTGCTAACTTTTCTGGACGAGTCTATATCAGGATTTGCTGTTTGATTGGACACTTCTATTTTTGGACGAGTCTATATCAGGATTTGCATTGTACTTGACACACTTCTTCCTCGACGAGGCTATATCAGGAATCGCATATTATAATTTGACACACTTATTTAGTTCTTTGAGGCTGGTAGTAAACTGTATCGAAATGTTCAAATACTTTGAGGTTGGCAGTATACTGTATCGAAATGTTCAGATACTTTGACCTTCCGGGTCGTCTATAAATAGACATCAAACTATCCAATTGAAACCGATGACGCACGTTTTTGTTTCGCCTTTTGTATGGGACAATATGGATGGTTATTACCGTCAGATTACGCTGTCCTAACATATGCATGAACGATTTGCTTATATCCCCATAGCTTATATAATGTTTTGTTAATCTGGTGATACAGGACGGGAAGGTGTGATATGTAGATAATAAACACAAATCCACTTTAGTGTTTAATCGTTAGTTTTAACATTGAATTATTTAAACAATAAAATATTATGGAGTAGAAAAAAAAAATAGGACGATGAAACAAGACTTTCAGTTTCCACTCAGTGCTTTAATTAGCGTACATTTTTTTATGAAATTAGTTTTTTAACCCAGACTTTGTGCGATAATTAACAAAGCTAGATGCTTTGATTACAAAATTACATTTCTTAATTACAAACCTGTATTCACTTATTCAAACTTAAATTATATAAATACGCTGCTACGCTTTCTAATGAAACCCCTACAATCTTTAATTACATGCCATTTTCTTTGATTACAGTATAACAATGTGTAATTAGAATACTATTGGTTCACGTATCCAAACCTTTAATTATGTAACTTCACTACTTAACTCTCTAATTAAACAAATGCATTCTTAAATTACAAACTATGCTCTTTACTTACAGTATGAAAATCTGTAATTAGAATACTTTAGTTAATTGCAGTGTTGCATTATTTTCAGTACAAAACCACACGCTTATTTGAAAAACTAACCAGCTCGTGACTAGATGTAATACTTCCTGGAAACACAAACATTTGATATACACACGGAATAATGTATCTGGTGCTTTGTTATATTTTTCATTCAGTATTTAGCCTGAGATGTTGGTTACGAACTACAGACAAATTTACCTAATCAATAACTACACCTAGTAATTATATCACAACGTACGCGTGGTATTTGCTCATGTATTCGTACACATTGTAACGAAATACATTTGCTATTAGTCGACACATTTGTACACTTTGTCACACATTGTGTACAAAGGACGCACACATTAAAAACTTCGGCCCTTAAAGTACCATCTCAGACCCGAAGGGCATAGGAGGAAGTAATTAGTTCTGTTATACCAGACCACACGAAAATAAGCTATAAATAACTCTTTACATGGCAAATAGGCCATAATGGACTTATGGCACATATATTAGGCCATTAGGAACCAATTGCACCAGAATTAGGCCATAAGGAACCAATTGCACCAGAATTAGGCCATAAGGAACTAATTGCACCATAATTAGGCCATAAGGACAGAATTAGGCCATAAGGAACCAATTGCACCAGAATTAGGCCATAAGGAACTAATTGCACCATAATTAGGCCATAAGGACAGAATTAGGCCATAAGGAACCAATTGCACCAGAATTAGGCCATAAGGAACCAATTGCACCAGAATTAGGCCATAAGGAACCAATTGCACCAGAATTAGGCCATAAGGACAGAATTAGGCCATAAGGAACCAATTGCACCAGAATTAGGCCATAAGGAACCAATTGCACCAGAATTAGGCCATAAGGACAGAATTAGGCCATAAGGAACCAATTGCACCAGAATTAGGCCATAAGGACAGAATTAGGCCATAAGGAACCAATTGCACCAGAATTAGGCCATAAGAAACCAATTACATCAGAATTAGACCATAAGAAACCAATTACATCAGAATTTGGCCATAAGGAACCAATTATTTAAGAATTAGGCCATAAGGAACCAATTGCATCAGATTTAGGCCATGTATGTATAGGATCTGAGATATCACATACACATACGATATACATGTGTTCTTAGATCATATGAATATAACCCTCACTTATTCAAACACACATATATTGTATCTGTAAGTGGTATCTCAGACCATATTCATACACACGTATATTGTACAAATTTATAAGAGAGTGTGCATATCGTTTTAGAAAATGTATTTATATATTTTATTTTCTAGCCTGTATATGTACGCATGAGCATAATATATTAGTCTTCACTGAGCTTTTGGATGGATTTTTACACAACTTAGTATAGGCTTCTAGATTATTTGTATGCACCCTATGGTAAGAACTGCTACATAACTTGTGTAAGATCCCAATCGTAGTTACATCTCATTTGTATGTTCCTTTATATATCTTTTGTATGATCCCATTATATATATATATATATATATATATATATATATATATATATATATATATATATATATATATATATACATATATATATATATCTGGTATGACCCCCTTATACATATTTTCTATAACTTCATATATATTTATATCAGCCATTGTATATTTCTCGTTGTAGTCCCTATATACATGTATAAGCCCTGACATACTTCTTGTATGAGCACTTATATATCTCTTGCAAATCTCATTATTGTATTAGCTCATATATATAAGAGCCATTACATACTTCTTGAATGAGCCTTTACATATTTTAGGAGTCCTTACAGATCTCTGTATAACCCTCTATATACTTACATGAGCTATTACATATTTCTTATATGAGTCATTCCATATCTTTTGTACAACCCTCTATATACTTAAATGAGCTATTACATACTTATATGAGCCCTAACATACATCATGAGTGAGCACTTACAAATTGTGCATACGTCTCTTACATATCTCTTGTAAGAGCAATTACATATTTCTTGTAACCCCCGTACATATCATATGTATTGACCCTCATATATAATTATATATGTCTAATAAATTTGATTTATAACTTTTATATGAGCCCACATTATGTGTTACCTAACACATAGTCCCATCCACATCATTAAGCCATTACATAACTTGTGTCTTAAATAAAGTAAGCACATATCCAACTCTAGCAACTTCAACCATAGCGATATAAATGACCAATATCAATTACTCATAAATCCGTTACATTCAGCTCTCAGTGTTAATCTCTAACCTGTTGAATTAAATCTAAATCTAGCTCTTTTAAAATATCTCTGCTATGGATATTAAATAGGGGAACAGCTATTTTAGTCAAGACATGTTTAATTGCTGAAAAATAAAGCTTTGTAAAGTGCATTTAAAATATAACTATTAATTTGGTTGGGAATTTTTTAAAATCCCATACCCATGTTTGATAATATGAAAAAAAGTACTGAAATCTTCCTACAAAAACTGTTGTCAACAGTACACTATTCACTAATATAACTTGCTATATTTATGTTAACTTTCTCGCTAACCCCAACCTTAACCCAAGTTCTATTGTAGCCAAAACCCTTAAAGTAAAAGTAAAGTTCCCTTTTCAAACCTGACGGTCTATAGGGCAAGTGAGGTAGAGTTCACTTGTTTCTGTGGTCTCGGCATATAAAGAGATAGTGTGCTCAGCACTATGCCCAGCCGCCTTTACTTTCCCTAACGTGAGTTAGGTACCCATCAGAGTTGGGTGGACTCAGGGACGGTCTACTGTCTTGAACCCGGCTTCGAACTCGAGACTTACGAGTTAGCAGTCCAGCTCACTACCACTAAACCCCCTCCGCCAAAACCGTTATCCAAACACTAATACTCTAAACAGATATTACAAAAAATTTAATAAACTTAAATATCCATATTAAAATAAATTAGGGGGAATTCGTTGTAGAAATCTAGAAGATGTTAAAAATCTTATATTCTTTACTTCGTAACAAACTCACAAACCTAATGAAATGAGCGACTTGTATTTATTGTCAGAGCCGAATATAGCACAGACATTGTATTTTGTAGACTGTCACCCAATACACATTCACATAGCTATATTAGAATCCGTGAACTTACCTATAATATGTAAATCTCCAAAGGTGAATCACTTCTCATAAAAACTGACTTTATTTTCTGTACTCCTAAGTCTTCCTCTGAGGGTAAAGTATCTACTCCATGTCACTACAAGACCTTAAATTATTTGAGCTTAGCCGGCCATACGAAAGTTGCACCAAGTTTTAAAAACAAAACCGATTTAAAAGTAGCCACACCATAAAAAGCACAATGTTGCGTAGAGTTATTTCCCATATCCGTGAGACCCAAAAAAACAGCGCTTGGAATGAAACTGCAAGACAAACTTTGAGCTGAAATCACTTCTGGTAAACAAAACAATCGTCTTGTTTGAAACACAAATACTAACAAATATACTGTTGACTAACAAAGTTAAAAAGAAATTATTAAAATTCTGTTTTGTAAGCTGTTGGTTGGCTAACCCTACACATAGCTGAAGACTATAGCGGAAAGATAACCGTAGAAGAATCGTGTCAGGGGAGATAACGACACGTTGTGTTGAAGGACACCAGACGACGCTACAGTGTGAAGATTTCGCGAAAATCTTTAGCTCCGCCCCGTGACACACGTAAGTGGTGCGAGAAGGAAGATTAAAGCATTACACGACCTGTTGCCGTGTTGCGTGATATAGTGTCGCTGTGTTTAAATGGGTGTTTGGTACGTTGTTGTCTTTCAAAGTTATCGGTACTAGTTTAAAGTTTTTCCGGAACTGTCTCATTTTAAGAAAACAATGCCGAGTATTTACCGGAGCGGATTAGTAGTTTTTCCGGCGATGATTAAAACAAACCGGCAGACGATTAGAGCCGGGGAGATTGTATCTTAGGCGTATTCATTCTTGCGTTTTCATTTAACCGGCATTAGTGTAAGTCCTAGCCGGAATTGGTTTAAGTCCTTGCCGGCATTGGTTTAATCTTAGCCGGCATTGGATTAAGTCTTAGCTGGCATTATTCGGCTTTGGTTTATGTCCTAGCCGGCAATCAGCATTGGTTTAAGCCCTAGCCGGCATTGGTCTAAGTCTTAGTCGGCATTGGTCTAAGTCTTAGTCGGCATTGGTTTAAGTCTTAGTCGGCATTGGTCTAAGTCTTAGTCGGCATTGGTCTAAGTCTTAGTCGGCATTGGTCTAAGTCTTAGTCGGCATTGGTCTAAGTCTTAGTCGGCATTGGTCTAAGTCTTAGTCGGCATTGGTTTAAGTTCTATCCGGCATTGGTTTAATCTTAACCGGCATGGGTTTAATTCATAACCGGCATTGGTTTAAGTTCTAGCCGGCATTGGTTTAAGTCCTAGCCGGCATTGGTTTAAGTCCTAGCCGGCATTGGTTTAAGTCTTAGCTGGCATTAGCCGGCATTAGCTCAAAACTTTACCGGCCTTAGCTCAAAATTTTGATTGGCTCAAAACTTGACCGACAATGGTTGAATCCTCTAGCCTGCACTGGCTGGATTCTTTACCTTGTTACAAATCATTACCGTAATATGCTCACTTCACGTACATGTACGAAAATATGATACCACCCCACCCTCAACCCACCCCAACTACCATTGTTACTCTCCATGCCAAAACAACGATAAAATGACCACAATTAACCACAATCAAACCACAATGAAACCTCCACAACTAGGTTCATGACTGATGCTAACGCAGTGTTAAATCAACCCCCCCCCCCCCCACACACACACACACACAATGCATTCTTTTAACCAGCTCGAGGCATCCTAAATTGAATTAAGCACCATGTAGCGTTGTTACAATACTGAAATTATTTGCCTCGTGATGTTTCAAAGACTGCAACTTTGCTGTATTAGTGCAGTGTAGGTCAGGGGTTCTTAACATTTTGGAGGTACCGAACCCTACAAGTTTCATATATACATTCACCGAACCCTTTGAAACCATGTTAAGAACGACTGGCCGGGGTCAACTGGTCAGCTGTTAACGTGTCAGTTAACATGTCAGTTTGCTACAAACGTAAAAATTATACCCTATTTAAAGGGGAAAATCATGAACTTTCCAATAAAAGAGATCACATTTTGTTTTTATGTCAAGTGTTCATGTGATATTTGAAGAGAGTTAAGGTCCTTAGCAAGGTGTTCCATTCACACTCTGATTTTCTGTGCTATACGGATGCACTAATAGAAAACAGTATAACATAACTACCATTATCCTCTCATAATAGTTAGAATCTATAAATCTTAAGTATTTTGGATTATGGTTTGATTGGGAAATTTAAAGATGTGAAGGTTATACAGCTTTTGTAGATGTCACTCTTTCATATAGTTTGGTAGTGGTCGAGTCGGTAAAGCTCATGGTTGCTAAACCGAAAAGTCTCGAGTTCGAACCCTCGGACAGATGAGGAGAGACAACTCCAAAATCAAACAACTGCAGCCTTTTAGTTTGTTCTTGGTTGGACAAATGCTATGGAAGCAAATCCAAAAAGAAAAGCAGGCTGAAATCGGAGTCAATGGCCTCAATGACGTATAACCATCTGTGTCTGGCTAGTGTAGGGGTTGTCTGTGTCTGGCTTCTTCTTCTTCTTCGTTCTTAATTTTTAGTGTTGGGAGGGATCGAGCCTTATCTGCCAGAGGGTTTGAACTCGAGACTCTTTTTTTTTTCGAATTTATCAACCATGAGCTTTGCTGACTCGACCATGCTTCCATCACAATTAAGGATACGTGTCAACTGGTTATGCACCTTTGAGGCCATTGACTCCGATTTCAGCCTGCTTTTCTTTTTGGATTTGCTTCCATGGCTTTTGTCCAACCAAGAACAAACTACAAGGCAGCAGATGTTTGATTTTGGAGTTCTCTCCTAGAAGAGTGGTTGTCCCCAGCTAACAAGCCTCTGCCCGAGTGTTCGAACTCGAGACTTTTCAGTTTAGCAACCATGAGCTTTACCGACTCGACCACGCCGCGTGGTTAGTAAAATGGCTGTTTGTGGTTAGTGTTGGGGTGGTCTTTGTGGTTAATATAGTATTTGTGTATGTGGTTATTGAAAGTTTGATTATGTGGTTATTGAAAGGCTATGTGGTTATTGAAAGGCTATGTGGTTATTGAAAGGCTCTGTGGTTATTGAAAGGACTGATACCTTGAAAAGATTTGTTTGGGGCTACCGACCAGACACCTAGCCAAGGCCTGGGGATACGACGGGAACCTCATTGTGGGACTGAACGAGGTACTTGACTGGCAACTTTTCGTCACGATTTGCGAACAAGTTCCCCACCACACCCCACCACAAACCACATCAAAAGGCAAGAACAAGCTGACATTTCTTTAAAGCCGTTGCGGCTCCGGCTAGTCTATTCAATTAGCTCCACTTTCGGTCACGATTCGCCATTAGGGTGGTTTTAAAACTTAACCACAGACTACCCTGTCAAACTAAGCATGTTTTAAACGTGTTTACATGGAATATAAATTTGTGAATGATACATGTTCTTTTAATCTCCTCAAGGTTATAATAGATATCCTTGTTGTAAGGTTCTGTTCATTAAATAAATCATCATCATCTTTTCCCATTCATGCCGAATACACACCGAGCAGATGAAGTAGAGTTCCTCTTTTTTCAAGGGTCTCGGTATCCTTAGGGATAGTATGCTCATCGCTATGCCGAGCATTCAAGGTGGACTCCGGAACGTTCAACAAAATCGAGCCTGGGATCCGAACTCGAGACTTTCATGTTAGCAGTCGTATGCTCTACCACCCGACCACGCTGCCGCAGACGTCAAATACTTGCCTGATGTGACGCCAGGTCCCGCCGAAAATTCTGACTCATCCTCCGGGCGGTGACGTTCCATCCGCCATTGTTCAGTGATTCATCAAGAATTATTTGCCGTTACGACCCAACGATTTTCCTGTGAAATTTTGACATGGTCTGATGTCACATCGCTTCTTCGAAACTCTGGTTTCATTATCTGTTGCGTGGAGGATCAGTCAAGCGCGTAGGCGCGTATGTACAAGAAGAACAGGTAGAACATGTAGAATACACACGTAATTATATATGTAGGTTTTATAGGTGCCTGACATCTTTTGAGGCTTGAGGGGTGGGGAGGGGGTTGGAGGTGGGTTTTTGACAAGTGTGGAGAGTGGGTAGATGATGGATTGGGGGGAAAGAGGTGTGCCAAAAGTTATTAATGAATATACATTATTGCATTCTTGTTGATGAAAAACGAAAATGCAAATACATTTAGTGAATAATTACAAGAAAAAAAAAATACTCCTGCATTTTAAAATTAATCAAGATATGTCTAAACCTTCCCTTTCACCCATCAGGTGTGCTGACTCGGTCATCACCACCTAGCAACAACAACATAATCCGATGTTGAGGGCTAGCTTTCGATCATGTCGCTCCCACATAGGGTCGTCCAGATATCGTGTAAGGGCTATACTAAATACATTTTAACCTGTCTTTTCCTTAAATGCCGTTAAAAAAGGCTTCCCACTACCCAGGGGCGTAACTAGAGGGGGGCAAATGCTCCGGCGGCCCGGGAGGGCGCCGACATGAAAAGGCGCAAAACTGGGTAGAAAAAAACACCTAAAAAGATTATTCTGAGCTGCATTATTTAATTATACTAGGTCCGTCTGAGTTTAGCACATAAACTGCTACTTGGCTAAACGGACTTTCTGTTTTCTGTATCAATTGTGTGACACCAAAATAACTGTTAAGGGACCGTGACTAGTAGAAAGCGCCCTTGACCTTTCTTACTGTGTGTGTGTATGTGGGGGGGGGGGCGTTTATTCCCTATTTAGATTACATATATAACCGGGGCAGGGGTGTGTGGGCGCGTAATAGATACATCTTCCCTGGAGCGGGATAGGTCACTTACGGCTCTGCCCCCCCACCCCCCTCCACCCCCCAACCCAACCCATATCATACCATAAAATAATTCGGACGTAAATGACCACATTTATCGCCACTTCATTTCATTCATAAAAATCTGAACCTTTGCCAAGTCAAATAGATTTAACAACCCCTCACCTCCTCAACCTAACTTAACAGTACACACAATTTTAATACCCCCCCCCCCCCCCACACACACACACGCACGAAATGTGGCATGATTTATGTTGATCCGTGTTGATCCAGACTGGAAAACCGAATAGAATAAACTGGCGGGTGTCATATGTTTTACCTGTACCCTCCCCATTCATAATTTTACCTACAACACCCACGCATATCCCTTGGCCTATTTAATGCATGGTAAATAAAACAGCTGGTTTTTTTGGTGTTTTTTTTACATGAATTGACAAGTAATGAAGAAACAACCCGTTTTGATACATGAATTACAGTGGCAACCCATATCGAGACAACCCATTTAGTGACAACCCATTCAGTGACAACCCATTCAGTGACAACCCATTCAGTGACAACCCATTTAGTGACAACCCATTCAGTGACAACCCATTCAGTGACAACCCATTCAGTGACAACCCATTTAGTGACAACCCATTCAGTGACAGCCCATCCAGTGACAACCCATCCA